CTGACCATTTTATTCTAATTAGGATTCGATGTTCTTTATAAAATGCGTATTTTGCTTTCCTCGGCCAAATGTGAATGTACCAGACAATTTTAAACTTTATTTAAACATTTTTCCTCCCCGCTCTGAGTGACAGTTAATTTTAAGATCAGCCTTCAAGAAGTCTAGAGAGCATTTTGAAATTAGTGGAAGCTCTCCTTTTTTCTAATTTGGTCATTTTGTTTCATTATAATGTGAAGAGTGTTAGATATGTGAACCTACAGGAGATTTTTGAGAAATTAATATTGCTTTAAAAACAATTGCCACACGTCATAAGTTTAAGTGTGTATGAGAATGTGAAGGAATGCTCGATATTTAAATAAAGGTGTTTTGGGTGATTTTCTTTCCCTGCTTGGACCTTCACTTAACAATATGCTTTCTTTCCTGTAACTTTTTATACCTCCTTTTTATTATTTTGTCAGTGAAAATCTTTCTTTCATTAAAAGATTTTTCACATTTGCAAATTCGATCTTGGAGTCAGGCCCTGATACCAGCTTCAACCCTGGAGAGTCCATACTGTGACTGGACAAGGGCAGGGAGGAGCTGCTGAGGAGGGCAGAGCTCTCCAAAGGATGACTCGATGCTGGTCAGGGACACTACTAACCTGGAGGAGGAAGCTTTCTGGTCAGAAAGCTCGTTGGAACCTTGACTCCGTCCCCAAGTGTCACAGGATGGTCAAAGATAGGGTTTGGTTCTGTGTTAAGTGGAACAAGCCCCCTGATATGCTTGTGAGGCTGGGGCCACCCTGCAGAGCTCCAGCCTGGGGAAATTTTGACACTGGCTTAATTCCCTTAGAGACTAAAAGCCTACTACAGATCTTGGAATCCTGAGATAAGTCCAGAAAGAGACTTTTCCATTGTGCCCCATGTGTCTGTTGGTTCCACTTGGTCATTAGTGCATACATGTACTCCTCTTTTTATGATATCAAAAGAAACGAAAGTTTTTATTCCTGATTCTAAAGAAAAGCTTCTTTTTCGTTTGTTTTTGGGGGGTTTCTTGTGGGGGAAATAATTAGGTTTACTTATGTATTTATTTTTAATGGCGGTGCTAGGGATTGAACCCATGACTTCATGCATGCTAAGCATGCGCTCTACCACTAAGCTACACCGTCCCCACTAAAGAAAAGCTTCTTGAATGTGCATATAATCAATCTGTATATGTATCGGCATATTAAAGCAGACTGGGGGCTTCTGATCCCCCTCCCATGTGCAGTTTTTCTCCTGCCAAGAAGCCTCTGAGAATCTGGGTGTGCAAATCAGTCCCAGGTGTGTGTAACGCTAAATCTTGAACAACTTGTATCTCGTGTCACCAGAGAAAACACCACTAAATAATTTGGGAGAGTCTGTGTGTGTGTGTATTTCCTTTATTTCCTTTTCTCTGATTGTACAAGTGATCTGTACTCATTTTAAAAGTTTATAAAATCTAAGGAAAAATAAAATCCCTTGTAATCTTCCCCTCTTTAACAGCCTCAGTTAACATTATATGAAATAATTGTCATGTTTTCTATGCATATTACTTTTACATAGTTGAAGTCAGACTAAATAAAATTTTAATTTTATGTGTTAAAATATTCACATGTTCTTATGCTATTAGCATCTTTCATGTATGTTTAAAATTGACTCTAGGAAAACAATCACGTATTTAAGGATATATTGAGTCACAAAACTATAGGAGAGCTATTTAATGCATTTATTGATTTTCTGGAATAATACCAGTGACAATTACTGTGCTATGGCTAGTACCCTGGTAGTTAGTCACATCAGCGTCCGTTAAATGAAGCACTTGAATATTTGCTTTTAAATCAATTTGCAATACCAACTCACTAATTCATCACTGAATAGTAGTCTAATTTCTTCTAATGTTTTGTGCTGAATATAGAAGTGTTTCTTATCATTTGTTTGGTCACCAACCCTCTGAGAATTCAATAAAAGCTATGAACCTTCTTCCCAGAGAAATGCGTATTCCCACAAAAAACCGGTTGTAATGATGATCAGTAATAATATGCCAGGCACTGGGTCAACTGCTCTACATGTGTTATTACACTTAATCCTTATTGCAGCACTGCAAGGAATGTACTGTTATCCTCATTTTTGAGATGAAGACATTGAAGCTTTAAGGAGATTAAGTAATTTGCACATGCCCATAGAGCTAGTAACTGGAGCTCAGACTTTGATTTTTGTGACCCCCAAAGCCCATCCCCTCAATCATGGTGCACCTAATTTCAGGGAGCTCATTAATTCCTAAAACCTTATTGATACTCATGTTAAGGATACCTTACTATTGCAGCCCAAAAATTTTCACTGGCGGTGAAGAGTATGTGTAAATAATGAATCTTGTTATTTCTGTAACTTAATGTAAGTATTTGGTGGCCATCTACTATTTTGAATACTTGTTAGGTTCTGTGATATGGTTCTTATGTCTAAGGAGTTTACTGCCTATGTGGGAAGACAGGAATTAAATACATAAAACAATAAAAATATGTAAGTATGAAGTTGTATATATAGTAATTAGATAGTTCCATAAGCTATACATGAAAATTAATCTCTTTACTTAGTCACACCTAATGCAGTTGTCACCCTTTGATTCCCTGATTTATAAAAGGAAAATCAAATCGAAAGGGCCTCCATGTCCTCTGGGAATCTGGAAGGTTCAATCGGTCATAAAATGAGGTCTATAAAGTAAGCCTGACTACATTTGTATCCCATGCAGATTCCTGAGTGCTTTCGACAGCGTCATAGGTCAGCCCCAGGGAGCATGCGCAATAAGGAGATTCAAGGACATACAGCCAGCTCTCGAGCATTCAAACCATGTATCACAGGGCAATTCTGTTGCGCTGGACACGTGTAAGGCAGCAGAACACCTTGATAGTTGTTGTTGCATCTTAACTCAAGTAGGATTCCTACGCGCAGCGGGGACCTCGTTACTTCAAATGATCAGCATAGCCTTGAGTCATACAGGAGCAATAGTGATAATCTACCGACCTTGGATGAAACTGTCAGGCATGGGAAGCTTATTTAAGCTGGCCGCCTGACAGTCAAGGCTGTCAAAAAAGAATGGCTCTGGCTATGATTCAAAGAACTGCTTTCTACAGGAGCATAGTATGGGAAAGTTGTACCTCTGATTGGACAGCTGCTGTATACAACCCTGTGTATACAAGGTTATCACAGATAATGGCTGTTGTAAGATATGAAGGATGAATTATGTCAGGCTTTTATTGTGTCAGCATAGCCCTCATCAAATATTTGCTCAGTGTTAGAATTTTAGTCTTTTAAAACTTTCACTGTTTGGCCACACATATGATTGCATTAATTTATAAATGGCATGTAAATTTTCTTTCTGAAGCAAATGGGAACCTAGTGCTACTACTCATTTTTCCTTCCATTTACGCCATTTTTATTTGAAATCTCTAAAATAAGAATATTTTGTGTTACAGTTTTACAACACATTTGTGTCTATTTTAATGAGTTTAAAAAATTGTTTTAAATTTCATTTCACGTAATGTTTTTGTATTGACTTAACTTGTGAGCATTATTTTTAAAGTAAGAGCAAAGATTTTATGAAAAGCTATGAGACATTTCCTAGATGGAAAATATTTTTAAAGGACAGAAATTCTCATCATTGTTCACAAACCTCATTTGAATCTATCCAGCTACCGGTCATTGGAAGTAATTTTCCAGACATATATGCAAATATCTTGATGGATTTTATTTCATTTCAAAAGAAAACCACAATACCAACTTTCTATAATTTCTTAAATTCATTCCTGGAGGAGAATATAACTGAAAGGAAAACATTCCTTTTCATATTTGCTTTGAGAAGATATTTGAGTTGCTTTCGAGGTAAATAGTAGATTGGTGTTAAATGTCCATCACACTCTGGCTTCACAGAGAGAATTCTAGGCATAGGAAGTGTCCAACTTTTGAACTTGCTGTGTGCACACGCACGCGTGTGTGTGTTGTGTGTATGTAGGGAGCTTAAACAAGACCTTTTGATTTCATAATAAGCTGGGCTTAGGGACAATAAAACTTGACATTCTTAACTGTTACTGGTATTCATCCCTATAGTCCTGTGTAGTTATTTTCTTGTTAATGATGTAGAAGCCAGAGTCATAAACTGAGCAGGTACCCAAGGCGCTACTGTAAATTGCAAATAGCATTCATGTGGTCTCTTTGACCTAAGACTAAGTTGGGTAGAGGAGGAAAAAAAAAGAAATTTTGAGTGTAGAATAGAAGTCAAGAACAAAGAATATACTTGAAGGAGGGACTTGCACAAATGCTTCCTAAGTTTTCGCAGTGAGATTTATTTAGATAGGTCCTTTCATATCTGCAGACATTTCTTTAAGAGCCAAGCACCATTGGGGCAGCCTCTGCTGCTGGGGGATGTGTGTGTGTGTGTGTGTATGTGTGTGTGTGTGTGTGTGTGTGTGTGTGTGTTGGCAATAATGCACTCATGAGATAATACAAATAATCAGTGAGGGAATAATTAATGATGTGACAGGGAATATTTTTTGATAAATGCTCGGGGAATGAGGTGACAGGCGTGAAATTAGAAAATTCCTTCAGCGATCTAAAATATAAATAGCTTTCGGAACTGAAAAGAGTTTCACAGCTGAAGATTTTATTGTGTTGAGAGGAAAAAGTTTTTTCTCTCCCCCACTCCCTCCTCCTCTGCAAGTTGTTTGTCCATTCACAAAACAAATACTCTGAAGCCCAGCGCGGCTCATGGGAATAAATTTCAGGTCGAATTAGTACAGTTTCCTTGCTGTCAGGATGCTGGAATTAATGGTGTTTTGATGACACGAATTTTGAAGGGCAAACAAAGAAGCTGAAGGGAGAGAGACATGACTCCTTAGAAGCTTGGTCCTCCTCTCCCCCAGCCTCTCTTGTCTTCCCTGTCATCCGTCTGCCAATCTCCCTGTCCATGGTTAGTTAAAGGCGCTTTTTATCCTCTTTTCTTTCCCACAGAGTTTGCCAGATCCGGCCCGGTGCCTGGGTTCCAGGAGGACACGCTGCAGTTGGCCTTCATCGACTTGAGACAAGTAAGTCTTTGTGTTTTTGTTTTTTGTTTTTCTTTTAAGATGTGTGACTGAAGACCATCAGGTCTTAAGGAAAAGGGGAGGGGCGGGGGATTGGCGTTGGCGATTCACACTGGAGACCTAAGGGGCTTTCCCTGTGTTTGAGGCCACCTCTTTTATTTAGCTATCTGGGATCCTTAGCTATGGTGGAGTTAAAGATTTTGTGGGTAGAAGGGAAGGCAGGAGGTGGGAGGAGGGACCCAGAGAGTAGAGGGACTCAAGTGACCCTCAAGTGATGTGACCCATTGTGCTATAGTTGGCTTCTGCAGACACAGCAAAAAGATAACTCGGCAAACCAATGCTAAGCAGGTGCACTGATGCAGAGAATGCCTGCCTGGAGAACTTTGTTTGCAGATAATGGGAGCAGTAGCATTTAAGAAAAAATGAAATATTTTCCATTCTGGATTGTTGGTTTGGTTTGTTGACTTTTTTCTGTTGCCTCAAAGTCTTCCCAGCCCCTCCTTTACAGAATGTGGTCAGCTGCGAGTGACTAAGTGGTCGTTTTAGGAGACTGGCAAAGGCCCTGACCAGTCGTGCTAACCTGATAGTCATCCCTATTAAAGGGACGTGATGAAGGCTGGTACCTGAGTACACCTGAGCTTTTGCAAGCCCGTCGGATAGGAAGAGTCGTGCCGTATTGCTGTTACTTGCAGATTGAAAAGGGTGGGTTGGTAGGCCTTGGTGGCTTGGGTATAGAGGAGCAGTATGGGCGGGGGCCGGAATAGGGAGAGAGTTAACTGGGCTCTGTCATCTCTTCACTCTGAAGATGGATGGGGTTGGATAGAAAGTGTGAATGAAGTAAGAATCAATGACTGATGCTTCTCTCCTATTAAAACAATCTTTTTTTTTAGTCTGTTTTTAAAAGGGGCTTAGGTCTTTAGTTCTCCT